GATTGGCATTTTCTTGACATGATTTAATTTTCAAAATATTTTGACTTTTTTTAGATATTTATAGACAACTGAAATTTTCAATTTTTATGAAAATTTTTTTGGCCCATTCAAAATACTTTGAAAATTTAATACAAAGTTCCTCATAAGTTATTCTTATAGTTATTAAAAAATTATAAGAATACATACGCACAATTTTTTTTGTTAGCATTTGAAGTTCAAATTTGTGACAAGACGAGCATCGCACAGTAAGCTTGGGAAAACAATGCAAAGTGCATCGAAATCCCAACCCTAATTATAACGTAGTACCTATATTTTTATACCTATTTCATTTCTTAATAAACAGTTTGTCTTAGTAATTAGTAAATTTAATGATAATATTTATTGAATTAAACACTAATTTTTCTCCAGGAGGAGACAAGTTCATCCTCTTCCCCACGGCCATATAGACCTATATGGCCGTGCACTGCTCTATCAATTGTCGGCCCTAGTGCTCTATTGTCTATTATAATGGACTATAAATACGAATACAAATTATAATACCTAACCTAATCTAAATAGGTATCTAATGTCATTGTTTATAAGTTATAGAGTATTTATAATTGATGTCAATATGTTTATTTAAATTTTTTTTTAAATTTATGTTTATGTGATTTTCACGTATTTACAAATAATAGTTTGCGTCAGCGGTCAGCCGCAATGTTGAGAGGTAGTGTTGGTCGCTAAGGGTGTGGCCAAGGTGGATTATATATTATATATATATATCCACCTTGGGTGTAGCTTGTAGCTTTAGGTCTAACTTTAAACGTTCAATTTGTTCAACTTACTCTTTCATGATCCCTGTATAAAATACCGTGGGGGAAACGATAAAATATGGTAGTAAAATGAATATAACTTCATGTTGATGTTAGGCATCTGTCATCCGATCTACCACGATGTAGAGAAGATAAGGTGACACCAGTACACCACTTGTACATATTCCGGTCGCAAATTTTCTCAGCAGTATGGTAAGTAGTGCCACCATTCGCCTGAAGGCCGGTTTTTATATTGTGATTACATTGT